AATTGAGGCAAAATTTACATTTATTTTAATATGGAATTGAGTGCTGCTATTTTAAGTCAGATATGAATTCTTTAAAAACTAGAGGGGTCATCTGTAGTCATGCAGCACAATCAAGCCTCTGAATCCCCTCAAGCCCAAAGGAAGAATGCTGGTTTGCACTGATTATCAACATTAGTTAAAAGAGGAAGCACTGTACCTTCTCCTGAGGTGTGCTGGGCTGCCACAGCTCTCCCCTGGGAATTGTTGCTGGTCAAATGGGACAGGAGGCCACCTATTCACTGCCAGTTCCCATGGTCGCATTGGGGATGTTCACAAGGCAAAAGGTGATGCTGGATCTCACATGCCAAACACAGTTCCTCACTGGTTCTTTGGGATCTGCAAAAAGTGGCGAAACAGCTATTGAACACAAGCTCTGTAATAAAAAGGATTTTAAGTGTTATAGCAGAACAACCTCTACAAGAGTTATGCTACAGGGACATCACTGGTAGGCTGAAACACAACAGCAAGAGGTGAAAAAATTCCCACATATTCAGTTATAGACTAAGACTTTCTTCATATTACGTGGTCTCCATTTAAAAGTTCTCCCTGAATACCTAACTTGTAGTAATATTGACTTGCTTATTCATTTCTATGCCTTTTCTGCTTCCTGTTTTTCATTCTCTTCTACTATTTTTAATTAAATCTAGTTGTGAATCAAATTTTATCTCTTCCTTTCTTTTAAGAAGTTCAGAGCACTCCAACTTAACCCATAGGACAACCAAGACACAAATTAAAAATATAAGACAGCAAATAGGCCAAGAAAGCCTGTGGCTGAAAGAGATTTAAACTTTGAATATCCAGATCTAACAAACCATAGATCACATGTGACCATACAATGAAATTAGCAAAGAAAGTCACACAAATTCTGCAATGATAAATATACCCATTATTAACTCCATCATCTGGATGAAGTATATATTAATAAGCTGCATCCAGAGTCTCATTTTAAAAACCTAAGAATATACTAACATTTCCTTAAAAACCATTCAAATTAGAATTCAAACATTACAACTGCTAGTAGTGAATTCTATAATTTAACCATGCACTGAGTAAAAAGAAAACAATTTAATTCTGTGACTCCTGAATTATCCTGCATTCATTCATTCATTCATTGGATGACCTCAAATTCTACAACTATGATCAAAAGACTGAGACAGGGTTGCTACAGATTTTCCTGTAGAGGAGACAGTCTTCTTAATAAATTATTTGCCTTTTTTGCATCTTTTCATAATATGTGATGATCAGACCCATACACAATATTCCACCTGTAGTCTCATTTAAGATTTGTGCAAGAACATTACTATATTGGCAGTTTTATTTTCAAATTAATGATTCCACCCATAAAATTTGACCTTTTTTAAAAAAGTACCTGCATAGAGGACTGATAGTTACCTCAAACTGTTCCTAATAGGTGAAACTTGTATCTTTTATGTCAGCAAGCACCACTTTGCATTTGTTGATCCTGAAGCACATTTGATATTTTGAAGCCCATTCACACAATTAGAAGTAGCCTTTAGGAACTCTTCTCAATCCCTCCCTTTTTTTGGTATCATAGGCAAAGATGATGAGTTCATAATTTAATCCTCCTCTTGAGATATTTTAGACACAAGTTTAAAAAAACAGGTCCAAACATGAAATCCACTTTGCACATCTTGCCAGTATGAGAATTATCTGTAATCTTATTTCCTTTTTTGTAACTAGTTGCCGCTCTATGAGAACACCTATCCTCAGGGGTTTGGGTGATAATTTTTGTTCAACATTGGATTTCTGAACATCCAAGTATGCAGTATCTACTGTATTATAAAACTGGTATGATACTCACCAAAAAAATGATAGAATATTCTTAAGAAAACATCTTGGTAGAAGCCAAGACAATTTTCTGCAAGGCTATGTATTTACCTATTTTTCTATAGTATTTTCAACCATATCCAACAAACGAGATAATAATCTGGAGAGCCAATCTGGTGTAGCAGTTAAGGCAACAGCCTAGACATTGGGAAACTGTGAGTTCTAGTGCCATCTTATTTACAAAGTCAGCTGGGTGACCATGAGCACTCATAGCCTTTCAACCCTAGGAAGGAGGAAGAACAAACTACTTTGAAAAATCTTGCCAAAAAATCCACAGGCCTTCTCCAGTCAATCACTGGGAGTCAACACTGATTTGAAGGCATACATATAGAGATTATAATCTAACTAGCTCATAATTTCCTTTATTGCTCCTAATTATTTTTTAAAACAAGGACACTTTTCTAGGCCTGAAGAAGAGATGATGAAGCTAAAAGCAATTTGTTCCAAGAACAGATGGTTATGTTAAAGAAAATTTGGCATTTTTTGAATGAAAAATCCAGCAGTTTCAATTTAAATTCCTTAAATGTATATAAGTGATGAAGCTTCTGTGATGAAGCTCCCACAACCTCTGAAGGCAAACTGTTCCATTGGTTGACTGTTCTCACTGTCAGACAATTCTCCTTATTTCTACGTTGAATCTCTGCTTGATCACTTTCCACCCATTATTCCTTGTCTGACCTTCACATGCTTTGGAAAATAGGTTGACTCCCTCTTCTCTGGGACAGCCCCTCAAGTATTGGAACAATGCTATGTCTCCCTTGGTCCTTCTCTTCACTAGACTGGCCATGCCCAGTTCCTGTAACCGTTCTTCATGTTTTAGCCTCCAGTCCCCTAATCATCTTTGTTGCTCTTCTCTGCACTTTCTCTAGAATCTCAACATTCTTTTTATAGTGTGGTGACCAAACCTGGATGCAGTATTAGTACCTTATGTGATCTTGATTCAATTGTTAATACAATTTAGGATTGCATTGGCTTATTTGGTTGCTGCTACGCACTGTTGGCTCATACTTAATTGGTTGTCCACTAAGACTCCAAAATCCTTCTCACAGTTACTGCTATTAAGCATGGTTTCTCCCAATCTATATATATATTTGGTTTTCCCTGCCTAAAGTGTAAGACTTTACTTTTTTCTACATTAAAGTTCACATATAAATGCAAAAGAAAAGATCTGAACAGGCCCAAGGTACTTTCCCACTTAGAGTGGAATGACAATCACACTGCCCCTGACTCAAATAATGTTATTATTGGACACTCAGCAGGAGACCTAAACGTTAGGAGAAGGTACTCTTTTCATCTTAACTATCAACTCTGCTGCATATNCATTTCTAAAACCAAACTTAATAACCAATAATTTTGCTTACACTTCCTGTGTCTCTCCTCCATTTCAGTTCAAACCATTCAGTTCTGTATCCATTTGGAGAAACCAAGGAAGGAAAATGTTTCGCTCTCATGGAAAAAGCTGCAAAATATTTCCAGTATTTCCGGGTAATAAGAGAGGTTCACAAACTTTGGGAGAATCAAAAAGGAGACTGGCTCTGTTCAAGAGTTGGCTCTCATAGAACTGGCATCTTGAAATAAAACACCCATAAGGTTGCATCTGCCACATGCAGGCTCCATCATTTGGAATACGCCTCCCACAATTCCCCCCCCCCCCATGTCATACTATCAGGACTTCATGAAGTTCAAGTCATAGGCATCTAGAGAGCAGCAGCAAAGGAAAAGCGCTAGCAGTTTAGAGAAACTTGTGACAGGAAACCACCATGGCCATAAACGCTCAAAAAGCTGCTCTGTACAAGAGGAAAAAGGAGGCAAGCTATTTTCAACCATGACCACCCCCACCTCAAGAGCTTCCACACTGTTCCCTTTTGCCTCCACATGTCCTTTGCATTCACAAGTCACCTTCAGAAATTTGTTTCACAACACAAACCAGCGACTCAGAGCCCCCCAGTCTCGAAATGTCATTGCCCGTCAACCACAAACGGAATAAATCCCGCACTTTGATTGACACACAGCTGCTCTGCGTTTGCTGCAAAACGCCGGACCTGATTTCAATCAGGCAGTGGCGGTTCATCTTCACCCGGGGGTCGCCCGCAATTTCCTTTCCCATCCCACTCTGCTCTAAGAGAAGAAGGCGGTATTCTGGCGATTTCTCTCGGCTTTTTGCTCTCAAAGGTCAGGCGAGGGGATCCAAGGGGATGCAGGTGCAAACGACAATCGAGGAGGAGGAGGAGGAAATGCCCCGGACTGGATTTTTGTTGTTGGGAAGCCGCAGTTTGCAGTGCCCGCCCATTTGACCCAGCAGCATCACTCATATAACTATCTTTAGCAGAAACCGAACACCACCCAGATTACATTTTTTTTAAACGCGGTTTTAATTATGGCTTAAAAGAGCCTTAATCATCCGGAGGACCGTTTAAGCTCCCCAGTCCAAGCGGCGCGCCCCTCCCTCCCCGTGCATCTCCACCTCGCAGCTGTGGATGCATACAAGAAAAGCTCTCTTCACCCCGATTTGCCTACCTGCCGGCTGGCTCCCCTTCTCTGGGTGCAGCTGCACCCCACATAAGCCGTCCTTTCTGCCGTGGTTCCTGGGCGCCGGCTCCGAGCCCCGTGCCCGCGCCCCCCACGGCTGTTTCCGGTCGCTTCTTTGTTTTCCTTCGCGCTTGCAGAGAGCTGCAGCCTCCTCAGAGTTGCCCCCAGAGCCGGGGAGGTCCAAGAAGGCGCCGGCGACCCCGGGTCTCTGGTCCTTTAAGAGCTGCCTGCGCCGCCGGGGTGTAACAAACGGCGCATTTTATTCACAACATTCGGACCTCAGCGCGCGCGCCCGAGCCTGGCTGGGGCCAAATGGGGAGGAGGAGGAGGAGGGGGAGAGGCGCGGCCCCGAGCGCTGCAGCACGTGACCGCGTCCGCTGCTACAATTAGCCAAAGCCCACGGCCGTCTCGCGCAGTCGTGCTTGGGCGCGTCCGAGCGAGCTGCACGCGGCAGCAGCGGAGCCAAAGCCTACCGAGGGGGTGTTAGCAGGGAGACGTCATGGCAACCATAACCGAGGTGCGGTCAGCGGGACGGTCCTCGGAGGCTCTGTGTGACACGGGGATTATAAGGCACCCGCGCAAGTAAATATACGGATACCTGCAGGGAGAGGCGGGAAAGATTCGCCCATCTCGGGCATTAACTCTTGTTTTCCTCCCCGGGCGAAATAATTGTTGCTCCCCCTCCGCTATTTTAGTATGTTGCAATGTGGAATTGTGCTGAAGGAGGACTAACTGTAGTTAAGCGCAGTTGGTTGGTGCGGTGCAGCTCACTGAGGTAAATTATATTCGTTAATTCATTTCTCTCTTTCTAGCCTTGGACATAATCAAAATTTAAGATTTTAATTCCATCTTTCCTTTAGAGAGCATACATATTATAAATGCATTATCCGAATCACACATTGTAAATGTATAGTAAAGAAGTAGAGGGAGACTTTTAAATAAAAACATGGCGATTTATTTAATATAAAGTCCAATTTTGTTAAGAAGATGCCTCCATTTATAGCTCTTCTTTCAAAGATAGCACCTTTCTGAAACTTCACTAACTAGAGTAAGTACTTTAACTCATATTTCAAACTATAATGAACATCCACCAGGACAAACCGGATATGCCAATACAGCCACATCTGGTGGTTATTTTTCAAATAACCTGGGGGGGAGGGTCTGATCAAGGATGATCATATTTGGGGTTCATAAGGCAGAAATGCATAAGCCTGCATTGCTGCCTCAAAAGCTTAAAGCTTTTTTTTATCCATTTCTAACCGGAAAAAAACCTCTTAAAGAACTAAAAATGCCTGCTCTTTAAAAGCTTTGACAGTTTGCTCTAGTGATTAAAGTCCAGACCCTGAGTTCAAGTCTCACCTTGGAATATGAAACCTAACTGGATGACTTTGGGCAAATCAATCTCTCTCAGCCCAACCAATTTCACAGGATGGTTGTTGTCAGGATCATAGGAGGGGGAAGATGAGTTGGATATGTCTGCAGCCTTGGGGTGTTTGTAAAAATAATAAAGGCAGAATATAAATAAAGGGGGGGGGGGGAACTGTGATTTCGCTTTGCTTCTCCAAAGTCATCTTGTCCAAATCACTGAGGCAAAGTCATCTGCCACTTACACAGCAAGCAAATAAGCTACAGACTGAATAGCACTTAAGACTTAGAAACCACTCCATGGTGCTTTACAGCATACTGAGTGGTTTAGAAATGCTGCTATCTAACCAAACTGAAGAGCATTTGGACATTCCTAAAGCTGATTTTTAAAAAAATCAGGCATTCATACTATATTTCTTTTCATTTTAAGAAAATATCATCCCAAGAATTATAATGTGCAATATAATTCTCTTTATTTCTTTATAATTAAATAAGCTTTAAGAGGACCCTGGGTTCTCCAGAACCTTTAAATTAACATAAGCCTTACAAACAAACCTATTCATTTATATATCTATCTAGGTGTTCTCCCGTTCATTATAATTTATTCCCTTCCCAAGTTTGTAGAAACGGGGAAAGAAAAGATTAACCAGAGCTATCCTTATCCCTTATGTGGGGTAAACCAGCCTATAGTTTTGAGAACTACTTCCTCCTTACCAAACAGATGGGGGGAGCAACAAGCTACCTATTACTTTATTATATTTTTATCAGCAAAAGAAATACCATTTTGGTTTTCTGTCTTGCATATCAAAAGGATTTGGATTGCCTCCAGTTATGTCAGTTATCAACAGTCATGTTATAGTGCTTCCATTCTAGCAACTGCACACATACACTACTGAGAGGAGAAAAATAACAATTTAGACTTGTCTACACTGATCCTATCTTTGGCCTAAGAGCAGGATCTACATCAATGTTTCTTGCAAATTCAGAATAAGTCTCAGCTTGCTCTATCGGCACCAAAGCATACCAACAACCTTGGATTGCTCCTCTGGAAGAAGAGGTGAAGCCAATAAGTCTGTCCCAGGAATCAAGTGTCTCTCATTAAAGTATCTCATTAAAATATTTGGTTTTTGTAAGTGAAACTACAGACAAAAATGAATTTTATCAAATGAAAATTATTCTTTACAGCAAGGGAAGCAAAAAAAGCAAACCATGGTCAAAAATTCAGTTGACCATACTATTCCATATTACAGGTCTGCCTGATAGAAAACTATTCTGCGTATCAAAGATTTTGCAAGAATTGAACACTCGAACAACACAAAATCATGCAAAGCACTAATGAGCTTTGCTAAAGACTTTCTCCATTAATAGGAGAGATTGGAGTAGGGTGGGGGTCAAAGCATACTTGACAATTTCCTCTATATTAACAAATTATTTTCTGTGACTGAATAAGAATGTTTTTGTGATATTCAGTTTTTAGTAGACCATTTCATCTGTATACTGATCAGATATGTTTGTCATCTCCCTAAATGCTACTGTCTACATAGTAGACAACATTTAAGTGCAACTTCTAGGAATACCATTATTACTTAAAATACTACTGTATAACTTCTATTAAGGACTCTTGATAATTTAGTATCCAAAACCATTTTTATAATGAGCAAGAACTTCACGTATCTCATGTCAAAAGTTAACCAGGAATATTGTAGTAAGCCTTGCATTATTATCATGCTGTACATGCTGGTCTAAATAGCAATATACACACATTAGAACAATTGAGTCTTCAGATTCACTACATTAGAGAAATCTATTTCAAAAGATTATTGCAAGTGTAAAAGATTTTTTTAAATGCTGATTTTTACCTGGTTACAGTCAGGAACATTTTTTTACCCGATTTGGAAAAGAGGAACTGAAAAAAAATGCCCAGAAATGTATGTGATGTTAATTAATCTGAGAGCTTTGAAAAGAGGACACTTGTTACTTCTAATAATTTACTTGGACTATGGGAAGTGTCTTAACAAGGCACTTTATCATAGAGAGATGAAGTGATTTTTTTTCCTCTTTGAGGTGAAGAGGTTGTTTCAGTGACTCATTCACTACTGGTAGCTTTGATAAGCAAATTCAAAACCTGAAAAATTGTTCATTTGGAATTGCTAGAAGTAATAGTTCTTGTAGTTCTGTGCTGTTACGGATAGGACTCCAAAACAATGTGCAACGTCAGACTGAGATACGTTAAAAAGTTAAAATATAATTTTTGGATTATAATAACCAATGTCTCTGAAGCAATGTTAACAGACGACTATTCATTTTTTTAAAAAGTGTTTTAATTCATTTGTAAAGCAATGTGGGGTGGTATATATGTCTTAGTGCTATTGTTATTGCAGTTGTTATTTCTACTGCAAGATTCTGGTGTTTTGAAACCCAGAACTATGACTGCTTCTAAGGAGAGTCTTCTTGTCTCATTTCAATTTCTGAATACCCATCCAATGAAAACAAGGAGAAGAAATAAGCAAACAGATGTTCCACAATGTCAATTATAAGCAAGGCTCTGATTTTATAAAGTAGTATGGCAGCACTTTGAATTAACAAATGCAGGCAATGCTCTTTTTCCTGGAACCACCACATGTTGGAGAACTGGATTATATTTTGTAGACTTGATTTTATTTCTTGAGGATGTTTATATTTAAATGTTTGGTTGCAATGCTCAAAGAACATTCATTCTAAGTATTGCCATTAATATTAAATAATTCGCTTATTCATTTTGGTTATGAATAGTCTAATTTTGGTTAATTTTAGTGGTTACTACATATGTACTAAAAGTGGTTCACTTATTTTAATGCTTCCGTATTTTGTGGATTATCTATTCCATCTGAATATTACTTTGTTATGTCGCTAGAATCATTCCCCATTCAAGATGTGTTTTTATTGCAATTTTAACCTGATTTGTGAACTGCTCAAAGAATCTGCAATAAACTTATGGGCCTGGGATGGCGAACCAAGACATGTGTGCCAGAGATGGCACACAGAGCCCTCTCTGTGGGCACACGCACCGTTGCCAGCTGCTCTTCTGGTTTCCGGTGTGTGCATGTGTGCTGGGCAGCTAGTCTTCATGTGTGCTGGAAACCTAAAGACCAGCTGGCCGGTGTACACAGGTGCACCGGCCACCTGGTCTTTGGGTTTCCGGCTCTCCAGTGTGCGCATGCATTCCAGTTTGGGCACTCAGTGCCGAAAAGGTTCGCCATCACTATTATAGGCTTTTTTTTATTAAAAAAATGTAGATTTTAACACATAGTCAGATTTTAACACTTGCAGACATTGGTTGAAGATGACCCTCCTGTTTGGATAATCACACACAACTACCATTTCACCCTCCTTTCTTTCCTTTGACCTGTGACCTCAAAGTTGTAGCATTTGCTCAATAGAGTAAAATAACAGTCTGCCCTCCAAAGAGATATTTGCCTTCTGAATATTATAAAATTTAGAGTAATACTCAAAGGAAAGAAAGGAGGGGTGGAATGGTAGCTGTGTGGTTGAAGGGCCATCTTCAACCAACGTCTGCAAGTGTTAAAATCTGACTCTATGTTAAAATCTACAATTTTAGGAGGACCTAGTAACTTCATTCAGAATGATGCTGGCAAGACTATGAGCTTCTAGACAAGCCATCCTTCCCTGTAAACTTTTAAGGTTTATTGGGGAAAAATGCTGAACTTTCATAGTTATAATTGAAAATTGGTGTGACCAAATAGAAGCCACAAGGACATGTACTCACTGTTCATATTGAAAGGGCATACCCATATTTTATGAGGACCAGTACAACTGGGGAGTAAAATATAAGAAGCACTTATCTACATTGCACAGGCCTTCCGCAATCTATTATGATTCTGAACCAAGGAAAACCTAAAATTGTCAAAATAAAATAAACCATTCTAAATTGGATGTTTAGGAATAAG